AAAGCATTACTTTATAACAATAAGTGCCACGTTCGGTGATAAAACTTGTTTTCTTCTGGTCTTCGGGGTTCATGAGGATCTGGTTGTAGCTGGAGAAGGCATCCATGAATGATAGTAATTTGTGCCCGGCTGTGGCTTCTACCAGACGGTCAATATGTGGCACTGGGAAGCTGTCTTTCGGATAGGTTTTATTGAGATCGGTAAAATTAATACAAATTCTCCATTTTCCGTTCTTCTTTTTTACCACGACGGTGTTGGTGAGCCTATCGGGATACTGGACTTCGCGGATGGAATCGATTTTTAGCACCTTGTCGACCTCGTCGTTCACAGCCTTCAAACGTTCAGGACCTAATTTTCTCCATTTTTGCTAGACTTGTCTGTGTAGAGGATCGACCTTTAAATGGTGGGATGCTATTGCGATGTGTCGATCTCAGGCATATCTGCGGCCGACCATGCAAATGTTTTGATGTTCTGTTTCAGGAAAGACAATATATGCTAAACAAAATCTAAAACATAAATATGCTAAACAGACTCTAAACATAATAGTTAGATATTAAAACACTTATATACCGTGGCTAAAAATGAATAAAATCCATGACACTCATGTTCAGTGGTCTTTTGTCATCGGCTGCATGATGATCACTCACCCGATGTCATAATAGTTTTCAAGCTTATGTTATAGGTCTTTCTTTGTCTACACTCTGTAGAGGAAAAGAAAAACTAGAATCTTTAAGGGAGTGTGTAGTTCAGAGGAGGTTCTATTTGTGTCTATGGACCGTGCCATTTGAGACCGTTTACTCAGCCGACAATGCTGAATCAAGTTTGCTCTCTCCTTTAGTTATACTTCTGGTTCATCGACCCCTACAGCCAGCAGTTGTTTTTTGTGTAATCATTTCTAGCCTCTATTCTCTCCCTCTGTAACCTTTTTGTTGTCTTCTACAAATAAGTTGCTTGCAACAATTTTGTTAAAAAACTTGAAATTTTTTGGTATGAATCCTAATATGAGAAATTGGATGCAGTAGCTAAAAAATAAACTATAATTAAGTATCTAGCTAAAAGAATAAAATGACTTTGACATTACTACAATACCTACTATATTACTCTTCTAACTTATTTATTTCCTCTGTTTTGGTTTTATTTCTACTGGTAAACTATAAAAGAATTCTTAATAATTATTTTCCTCAACAACTTCCTACCACTCCACACTACATCGCTGTAGTTATCTCCACGGTTACAACCACGATGACAATAACTTATGCAATGAAAGGCCACCGTCTGTGCCATATCCACTACCGCCACATACTCTGTAATAACCTCCATCATAGTAATCACTGCTACAGTTACCCCAATTACCACCATCAAATCTGTAAGATGTACTATATATTTCACATCCACTGTCGTTTCTTCTATATTGACCATCAACTCTTCATATATACTTTCAAATCCATTGGGGTGCTTACACCACTGCGGTTTACCCCCTATCACCATCCGTCGCTTTTCCATAACCACAATTACATCCAAGAAACATGACTAATATTAGGTTATACTATTTGTTATATAATATAATATAGTAATTTTATTACTTCGTACTATACTATCTATTATGTTTTATTCTATTTATACTTTTATGTAGGCTCATCTTTGTAATCATAACTCTTCTTTTCTGTTACGTCTTAAAGTAAAAATATATTATATTATACAATAGATAGAATAATACATTCGTGAGGCCGAGGGATGTATTTGTTTGTTGATTAACATAAATTTTTGTTTGTTTTGGATGTGCTCGACGTCGAGCTGCCTAGGTACTGCGTCGGAGATCAAGCTTATCGTAGTTCATTTTTTTTGTTTTGGTCATGACCGATGCCCCCCCCCCCAGCTCGATGTTTACTCGTAGCTTAAGTATTGGGGGCTTTTTATCTATAGTATTTTTTTAGGTTGTAAGCGTTCCAAGGCCTCATTTTGGGTCGGCCGGTTCTATATTTCTCCAGCTCGTAGGCTCCGGTTCTCACTTCCTTGGTTATTTTGTAGGGTCCTTCCCATCTCGTTCCTAATTTTCCCGCTCCTTCTTCTTTTTTTCTGTCGAACACTTGTTGTAATACTAAGTCGCTGACGCAGAAGGAATGGTTTCTTACATTAGAATCGTAGTAACAGAATGCAGCATGTTGATATTTCTGTATCTGAATTGATGCTTTTTCTCGTATTTCTTCGATCATATCGAGCTGGTCGATCAGTAGTTCTTTTTTGAGCTTGGCATTTTCTAGACATAGTCTGCGTCGCTGGCTCGGAACC